ACTTCGTACATCCTCCAGCTCATGTCTCTCGCCGACGGCTATATGCTGCAGATGGACGCTGCCGATTGCGACAAACTTCAGGCTGCGCACCCCTCGCTTCAGCGAACGTTTGACCAGATATATCAGGACATCGCTGCGTTGACTCAGGATATGTGCCAGTGGGACGATTGTTTCCGAACAGTCATGACAGAGGTCAACCAATTGTCTATTCCTTCGTGTAGCCTCGCTGACCGTCGTCATAGACGGGCTTCGCTGCATGCGCGGACCGTCTCGACGCCAGGCCCTTCAGGGACCCTGCTGTTTTCGCACGCAAGCTCGCGCCGCTGTTTGAACTCCTCGAGAATTACCTGGCCGCGCGCCTTGGAGTTCGTGAGGATTGCGACCAGCTGTGCGGGGTGCTTGTCGAGAAGTGGCTATCCTGCGCAGGTGGTCAGATCCCCGGACACGAGGTTTTCGTCGAACTACGCAAGTACGAGGAGTTCCGCCATCTCCTTTTTGACCAGAGCATCGCTCAAGCCGAGGCTATCGGCACAATCAAGGTGAGCCGTATTTGGGAACGTTGCACCTCGCCGATCTGCTCGCCTTCTGACATGTACGTGACACGTTTGCAGGGGCTCGTCGACAATGCAGTCGAATACTCCTCCACGCTCACCAGTGCCTCTTTCGCGGTTATGCCCGTGGAGAAGTTTCACGCATCGTTCCTCCGCTATGACGAAATGCGGGTCGCTTGCGAGCGTCTTATCGAAGTATGTCACCCCTACCGAATCCTCACGACACGTCTTAACCGCCGCACTGCCCTCATTGTAGCGCTGCACGGCGGCTAATAAGGCTATGACCGAATACGTGGTGGAGCTGGAGAAGGTGAAGGATGCTATGTGAAAAGATGGTATACGTTCCGGACACGACACGGTACTGTAGCGCCGTCCTATCTTATCCGCTCCGTGTTTCCGACAGGCTTCTTCGCCTCTGCGCACTCGAGCTCGTTGTTTACCGACGCCACGACGTTCCGATTTGTGATGCAATACCGATAGACACCTTGCGCTGAGGAGGGGACGCCCGAGGCCTGAGTCCTGAGATCTCAGCGTCAATGTGATCCGAGGCCCGGCGTGTGCCGTTTCTGCGGTGCACCTGCCAATAAATTCAGTTTGCTACTTATTTAATCTCCGTTTACTCAGAGCGCTCGCTCGCGGCGTCGACTCGGTCGGTCGAGACGCGTCCGAGGAGTCGCTCACTAGTAATAGTGGTGGACATTTGAATGTTGAGCGCCTCCATTTTACGCCCCCGCTACGTCGGAATGAGCTCCGCGGGCACTTGGTGAATGCTGCCGCGTACGTGTCGCCTGCGAGATGTTGACGGTCGTCGGCTGACTCGGTCTCGCAGACGTTAGATCCACCAATGCAGGTCGCATCCTTGAGAGGGCAACGACGACTCGGAGCAAGGGCGAGTCTCACCTCTCCACGTTCGCACCCCGCAGGTAAGCCCTTTACGCGCCGCGCCGCCATTATCGGATGTCGCTTAACCGTTCGGGCTCGCTCCTCGCAGGTCCCGCATAGCGACACAACTTCTGCGTTGTGTTACACTCCCTTCTATCGAGCCACCTTCCCACGTCTGAAACTGCCACCAAGGAGGCTGAGCATGATCCTCAAGCAACAGGCATGACCACCACAGAAACGGGCTTCGACGAAGACTTCTTCAAAGCTGGAGCCATCACGGAGGGTCGCAAGACGGCTCAGAGTCTTCACGGAGCACCCAGGGGGATCTGGAGCGACAACGCGATCGAGAATCTGTTTTGATCTCGCTCGCGAGACCTCCTCTCCCGCATCTCCGGCCCTGCATCCCCTCCGAAACAAGTACACGACGACTCGGACGATGACAGCGACATCGAGTCCAACGGAAGGCTATCAAGCGCCCCAACGACGAATCCTTGCTCCTGTTCAGGGACTCATCCGTCTCTGAGTTAAGGCTCCCCGACATCTTGCGTCGCACTCTCGTCCTCAAAGGAGGGACGTCGGAGGCCTTAGATGCCAGTGTTATGGTGCTGGGAGGTTCGCTGCGCGCTGTTTCTGTAGTGCACCTGCTAATCAATGGTTGCATAGGTCTTGCTTCGCCTTCCTATGCAAGTAGAGCATAACATGAAGGCATAAGACCGGGCCTAGATGCTCCAGCATCTCTCGTCCACTACTTCGCTCACTCGTGCTCGTGTTCTCCATGGCCGATATTGACTATAGACACCCAGTAGGGAGCGCTGAGCATCGTGTCTGCCCGCCCTTGAAGTCATCATGAGGCAATCCGATTCACAACTCGGCCAGCGATTCGGCACCGGCCTTGGCGACTCTTCAATCCTGGTAGGATCCCAGTCGACACTTTCAAATCTCCTTGGAATCTCTCGTGACTCGTGCGAGATTCGGGAAATCATCTCTCAGCTATCCGCTTTGCCGCCGCCGCAGGATTCAGCGTTCGAGGTGTGTATGGGACGTCACATATATCACCCTGCTACCAGGCAATCTACTCCAAGCGTGGCCTGACGGCCGGCCTTTGTGCCAGGCTTCGCCGATGATATGAATTTCGGGCCCCACCGCGCTCCTTGTCCGCCACACTTACGATCGTGTCGAGGTACTGCCCTGGACATACATTGCCGTGCCATGTATGTGTACGCATCTCTACAGCCTCATGAACAAAGTCTCCGCCTTCTATATGTCTGCCTGTGGTATGTATGTATGAACGATCAAACCCTGGCGAGGAGCTGGCAAGGAGGAAGTCGTATATTATTATAATGAAGACATTCCTTCGCCGAGGGATGGCATGGTGGGTTCCGTTCAATTATGTATATTATGTTCAGGCACGTTCAAGACCTGAGTGAATTCCCGTGTGGCTCACACCCACGTACCTCAACATTCGCACCTGATTCCGCTTCCGATTCACGGTCGATTCGTGAATGTCCGATCACTGAACATTGTAAAAACAGGCATAATGTTTTCCTCTCGATGTTTTGGTCGAAAACATTGGAGAAACATAGAGAATAGCTGAAAAAGTTATTTTAGCTTATTTGGTCGGTAATCATGTTAGAGACATTGGCCAAACTTGCTGTATGTGTTCACACGGTCATGATTATGTTTTGCGTCCCAACATCGAAAAGACATTCTGACTGTTTGTGGGATGTTTTGCACGGAAAACATTGCAGAAAGAATTTTGTATCGTAATATGATGTCCCGTTGTGGACCATGGCCATGACATCAGAATACCATTTATCATTGTTCACGATGTTTTCCTGGTGTTTTGACACCGGCCACCGGGAATACATCGAAAATGTCTTTCAAAAGCTTACCGCAAAACCACTGGGAACACTTTCAAATTGGTTTTACAATGGTCTTCCTGTGTTCGTGACTGAAAACATTGTAATGACATCATTTATGTCTTTCCCGTGTTTTTCAAAGAGAATTTTTGAAGGCACAGTGTTATCATTTTGCATGTCTATCTAATGTTTGCCTCAAGTTACGAGGCCGATATACTGAAAAGATTATTTCAGGTCTTTCATGTTTTCATCATGTTT